AGAGAATACATTAATATGTGACTATGTTTAACAGTGAAATAAAAATCAACTTAGTGCGATGAAAATTGATGGAATTACAAGCATTTCAAAAATGGCAAATTATCGATGAAAAATTTTGTTGTGATAATTTTGTTCCGTAGTGTATAATGATTTGATAACTTATATTTTTATAAAGTCGAATCTTAGAATATTTTAACGAATATCTTTACCAACGCTTTAGGTAGAATTAAGTTTGAGTATTTTATAAATATTTTGAAAATTGTTTAATCCATAACTTACTAAATGAAAATGTATTATACAAGAGAAACATCTATAGTTATTAAGTAAATATGGAAGATTATAAAATAGCATAAAATTAAGGGAGCGTATTAAAATAATAATTTTATAAGCTATATAATGTCACACTACGTATGACGAGTGATGACGTATTAAGTCTATGAGCATGCGCTGATGATAATAGACAAGCTCTGTAATCTCTATCTATGTACGCGATCTATAGTTCGCTGTAAGATTAAACCTGACTGAGAAGTCACACGACTCTTTGCACGATGTAGTAATATTATTATTCTAAGTATATTATATTAATTAATTAACAAGTAGTAAAATCATTTACAATCCACTCCACCTTGTAACGGGGTTAATACCGTTTAATTAATTTATCCGCGTAATCGTATCGAAAAGCGCACGTAATTATCTATATTAAATACTAAAATCGGAGAGCAGGAGGGAACGGGTGTCAGTCAACCAACTATCTATAAATACGAAAAGAACACTTCGAAAGTACTGTTAATATCACATACGAGATATTACCTCTTAACATTACATCGTATTCGGCCCGCGTGTTTATGTTTACATGCCGCGCGCACGACAACATGCAGTGTCGGATCGCTCGCCGCTCTTTGTTTGCCGAGATGTTACATGCACGCTTTTTGTCGAATCGAGGGATTAGTCGTGTAGCAATTATATCGCGACCGCGAAATGAAGCTGGCTAGCTTACCTTTTTTTGCAGTTGTACGAAGAACGAAAGAAACGGTTCGCACTCTCGTAGCGGGAAAGTCTGTCTGTTTTACGAGGAAGCTCGTGTTTTCGGTTTCGCCCTCGCTGGCGAAACTCCTCACATGCGCACTCTCACATACACGCTTTTCAGGCAGGTGGAGGCACCGCTGTCGTAGCTCCGACTCGGCTCGTATCGGCACTCGGGAGAAGCTCGGGAAACGTCAAGAGTCTTGGTAGCGCAGCTCTGCGATCGGGTTCTAATCCTTGACTTTTGGCTCACGTATCGGTAGCTGATTCTGCACTTTCGGCTAAACGTGTCGATGGCTGATCCTTCACTGGTTCGTTTTCAATCGCGCGCGTTCTACCTCGTCGCGTGCCGAATTCCCTTATTACATTTTCGTCTATCGGTAAGTGCTGCCCCCGCAGGCAGCCACTAGGTTAGGCTATTAGCGCTAATTCGACGTTTACCGTCACGTTTACCGTCATATTTTGTCATTCTATTATGTAGTGTTATTTTTAAGTGGTTGTTTTTTGTCAACGATTATATTTATATTATTATGAACAAGTAAACTAACGAAAAATTAAAGGAAAATTCGCCTATTTTACAGCCTCCATTTATTTTTAAGAAAGTATATATGCTTTTTTATTGTATCTAAAGATACCTTTTATCGTTTATAACGAGCGGCCAGACCCTCGTTATGTCTCTCTCTCCCCGTACATAATTATAATTATTCCTATATATATATAATTGTCTTATAATTATCTCACTTGTATGGCAGCCAAAGGTAAGTCAGAGAGAGAGCGCTAATAGAGGGCGAGCTAGGGAGAGAGAATTCGGGAGGCCGGCGCGATGCGCGCGAGTAAGAGAGTGGGGCAGGAAAAAGCCCCGCGATAAGAACTCTCTCTTGTACCGGCGACTTCAAAGCACGTGGACGTGTGACGAGCGGCTATACACGTGCTTGCGATCTTTTGCTGTCCGACCTTTCGCGACTAACTTTTGTGACTGACATTTCGGTTGCCTGCGAATACGCGAGTGTCCACTTGGTGTAAGGTTTCGGTGCCGAGATTGCCCCTAGTGCCTTTGGTGGGCTAGTTCCTGCGACCACGCGTGCGAGCCTTTAAGGCCACCCGCCTCTTGACTGCACCCGAGCTGCACACTGCGCGTCATCGCGAGCCACGTGCGAGACTGAGGATATCGCCTGCAGGGCTAACGCCGAGACATTATTGTAAGTACCATCTCGAATACGTGCCTCTCTCGCTAGCTTTACGCCGCTCTCTCTCCCGCTTACGCTGCGTATTAATTTTGTATTATTCTCCGTAGTAAACTCGATGTTATTCGTATATCTGTTTTCTTCTTTTGCGCTTCCTTTTTACCTATCGTAAGCAATCCCGTTCCGTCCGACTTTCGCGCCTGAATTTCGTGATCGCTCCAAAGCGCTCATAGGACTACACGACGCTCTCCGCGGGCTGAGGTAACAGACGCTGCACCACGACGTCCCTGTTGCTGCTGGGTTAGGCTTTGCGCAGCCTATTACGAGGCCCACACCGCGCTGTTTTTCATTCCCTCGTAATTTATATAACGAGCGACCCGCGCTGGGTCGAAACCCCGTTATACGTTTAAAATGAAACTACAAGCGATAAAAAATTGATTAGAAACTATGTTATAGTTATATTTGTCCGAGTGTCGTGATAATATTTTTCTTTTCGTGAAGATACTTTTTTCTTTATATTGAGAATATATTGTTTCTAATAACTATTATCGATCTAAATCAAGAAGATATTTGATTTTGATTAAATAAGTTATAAAACATATCCATAAAAAACTTCTTATTTCTTTTAGTTCATAAGATATAGCGCTCGAAACATTTGAAACTGAGAATTAAAACTACGCTGAAATTTCGTTGTTGAGGTTCTCGAAAACCATTCATTTGTCATCTTCTAGCTGGAAATTTTACCATACACACTCTCATGCCGATTCACTTCCTCTGTTTGAGATTGCACACATAAGGCTATTCGTGTAGCCAGAAGCGGTTGACAGAAAGAATAAAAGTATAGCGACTGTGGAGAATACGAAAGAGAGAGAGAGAGAGAGAGAGAGAGACAGACAGACAGAGGGAGAGAGAGAGAGAGACAGAGGGAGAGAGAGAGACAGAGGGGGAGAGAGAGAGAGACAGAGGGAGAGAGAGAGAGCTATTCGTCAGTAATGGTTGAATCATCAAACCACGCGTGTCGTTCATCAATATTTTTTTGTTTTTTCGGTAGGTGGCCTTCGTGAAGAGTTTATTTCAAGGATACATGCTCGGTGCGCGAGTTTCTATTTTTTATCGTGACAGAATTTCGTTGGCTGAATCGGGGTAAACTAATTCTAAAAATCGGCACCGGTATATGAGTATACCAGCGAGAACTTGCGTGGATAACGCGCGTGACTATTCTGTAACAGCAACATCAATAACAGCGACAACAGTAGCACTGAGCAGCAATGCCAGAAGCACGCAGCAGATATCGGTGCCGTATATTTTCTCTCTTTCTCTACTTATTGTATATTCATTGGTAATAGTTGCGTATATGGCTGTGCAATTTCGCTGGCTCTTGCACACGTCATGATCTTATTTTGAATTAATCTACCGCATCGTCAGTTACCTTTTTGAGTGCATTATAAAATATTGCCGTTTGTTTGTAACGCAGTCGTAGTGATGTTACCACATGTGTATATCGATTGTATATAGTAATAAAGCGCCTTAATATAGAGTGAGTGTCATGGTATTTTCGATCCATCTAGATCCTCATTTTGAAGTTAGAATCGCGTGTGATCATGATTGTGTATCTCCGGTATGCCATTTAGCTGTGGGAACGTTCATAGAGCAAGGACATTAAACTGGATTAGAAATTTTATCCGCTTTGAGTATATTTATGAATACTACAAATGATAATTTAAATTCTTTAAGGTGGAATTGATCTGAATCTCTTTTAATATTTTTCTATCCTGAAATTAATTATTATAATATGTAAAATTAATTTCGGAATAAAAAAATTAACATGGATTGAGATTCATTCTATTTTAATGACTTTTAATTGTCATTTCTAGAATTCATAAATTGATTCAAAGCGGATTAGATTTTTAATCTGGTTGAATGTTTTTGTTTTAGCAGGGTGGATATAACCGTATCAGTGTCGATAAATTTGCTATATTACGCATTTAAAACATTTATAATAAGCTACTCGACCGTCGAATGGAAAGCCACCCTTAATATTCGTATTTAGCGGATTGAAATACATAAAAAATCTTAATGCCTGCATCTAAATTTTAAAGGCCATTATGATCCCGCTGACTTAACGTAATTGACTATAAATCAGACTTTTACTAGGTTAAATTGAATTTGGATGTGCATAAAACTGCATTTTTTACACGAAGCGAATATTATGGATTTTTTAAAATTTCAAAACCATTAACAAAATTAGTACAATATAGTAAAATTTTTACTTCATCAAAAATATGCTAAAAGCTTTATAAACAGGTACTTAATTTATCAGAAGACACTACTCAACGCTGTTTAAAACTTGCGGTCAGGTTTACATACTCATGTAACTAAAGATCAGTTGAAATTCATGCCATGTTACCAGATCTGCAAACAGAAACTTTTGATTTTAAATAAGGTAGACAGAATCAATCTTCGATTGATGCTGTACATGCTGTCATATGACAGTAACTCGCTTGACTACCATTCAAGCAATCAAATCACAAATTAATTTAGTTTACAAGTCAATTATTTTTTAAGATAGTATCTTGGAAATTTTTATATAAAACTATTTAATTAATGGTTGATAATGCGAAAATTGTAATTTCTATGGTTTGATAGTGAAAAATCAGGATGATATCTGCCTTGATAGTATTTTCAGTTATAATACGTTTTTAACAAACTTTTTAAATTACATTTAATATAAAATATTTTTCAATCTCATTAGTTGAAAAAATATTTATAAAGAATATTATATAAAATTTTCAGGGCATCGATGAGCTACCAAGTGATGTAACAACATTAATGAAAATGGCAGTGGAACTACCTCCAGTAGCACGAGTTAGTATATCAAGTGCCGTCGCTGCTATTGGTTTTGTTGTACTTATTGGGGCATCGGTGTGTTTGGCCCGTGCTACTAACCGTCAGGAAAAACTTCATTTGAGTAGTCCGTTATCAACCCAGTCTATCAAAACCACTAATGGTCTTTCACCTACTTTTCAGAATCCTACAGCAAAGTCTCTTGCTAGTAAATAGATATTTTATAACTACATACACTTACCATGGTTATGTGGTATTATTTGACTAATTGTAAGTCAAATTATGAAATGACGTGAGCTGATTAGATTATTGGCACTTTTAAGATGAAGTAACAGATAGTTCATACCATCTTAACACGATCATTTTTCTTGCTATGTTTTTGCTATTGATTGTTTTTCTTATTACTATTCTTGTTTCTTTTCGTTATTATTATTTTTTATTTTTATTGCTAATTTTGTTTCTTTTTCTTTTCCTGTGGAAAATTTCAATGTTTCTAATGTGAGTAAACGATAAAACAAACCAATAGACCAACTCAATGGAAAATCATTATATTTTGAGATTTCATCTTCGTTATGCCTTGATATATTGTCTACCTTAAATTTTACAGGAATATATTTTCTGGTCTATTGTTTATTACTGATATCTCAATCGTTACTATACTATAAAGTCTCATATATTACTACCTCGTCGTGAATAAAGCGATTGATTTAAACAAGTACATATGAAAATTATCTTTCTAAATTATTGTGTCAGTACTTTATAATTGTTTTATAATGTCCTCTTTTCTCCTTTCTTTTATTGTATCCACCACTGAGAAAACCATTAATAGAACGTAAATCATCTTAGCTTATTAATAATTTTTTCTGTTCACCAATGTAAAAATTTATTACATTAATGTTGAGAGACAGATTTTTTTATAAATTAATGTTATTTTTATTAAGTATAATTTTCAATTAATTGTTGTTTCAAATTTTATAGTGTAACTTTCCATTATTATTATATAAATTCAAAAATTTCAATCTTTTATTCAATCTTTCCAGACAATTATAATTTTAGAAAAATAAAAAATATATATCTACAAAAGTTTCAGTTTATTTGTTATAGCTGATGAAATGGGTGGCGGCGATATTTTTGTTTTAAAATTGTTCACAGCTCTAGATAACTTGCCTTCATTTGAAAACCTGATAATGTTATAAAAACTATTATACACGCAAACACACACAGACATACGCATACACATCTACACATATGCAAATCATTCATAAAATCAGTAAGTACCATATGTATTATAGTATAATTTCTAAATCTTATATATGACTCATATTTTAAAAATTATTATTTCTAAATGTCTTCATATGTATTTCTTCAAAGTATTTCCTTAAAACGCTCTTAACTTTTTTACGTTAATATCACTGCTGCAATACTATATATTTTTGGCGTGCGTCTTGTTCTAGATGTTCTTTGTGATTACTTAATAATCAATATGTATTATGTAAAAGCTTAATTTAAGTAAGATAAAACAAATAGCTGTAATAGTAAAAATGGTCTATTTGTCCGAAAAAAGTAATAAATACAATACATAATATCCATACTATAACTTTGTATGATGAAAACATAATCTAAGTTATTATTACCAACCTGGATAAAAATGTTATCTCTTGAAACAGGGATTCAGCTCAGTTTAATTCGTTTATATAAGATATATATATATATATATATTATATATTACAGGTATAGGAATATAAATTCACGCCGTCTGCTGGATGATTGGAACGATGTGAATCCGCTGTGTTGACTGACAAGTGCGAAATGTGACGGTACGCAAGTAAAAGGCTAATGAGAAAAAAAGGGGTACGAAATAAATAGCCGTATAATAATATTCAACTTTGATTTAATCATATAAATTATGGGAAATTACGTAGGGGCGACAAAAGCGATATGAAAGAAAGAAAGAGAATTGCCAAGCCGTGCGAGAGAGTGAAAGAGGCAAACGAACGAGTATTTACAGATGCGAAAATGCCTAGGAAACGATCCAGGAACACGCGATACCTTTTCATGTTATATCGATCCTTGTGAAGACGAACACAAACCACACACAAGTACCTGTTATACTGATTGTCTTGCTTGTTCTGCTTAGCACTCGATTTCACAGTCTGATGTAACATCAGGAGCACACTTCATGATAGATGTAGTCACAGCAAATAGTGTTTTTCTTTCTCGGATGTTCTCGTTAACGCTACTAAATAACTTGCTCTTTTCTGATGTTATTCTTTGTTGCCAAATACGTGTGTCCTCTTGTAAGATAAAACAAGAAAAGAGTCTCTCGTGGACCTTGCTTCTCCTTTACACGGTGCGTCAGTTTTCGGTCAATCAACGCGCACGGTTATAAGTTCGAGGCGCATATCTCTGTCTCTCTCCTTGTCTCGCTCTCGTGTATCACTCGTATCGTTGCGTATACGCATCTTTCTCCTTTTTCACTTACCTTGCGCCGGAGCCTGATTACAGGTGAGCTATACATAAAATAATTAAAAATTGGATAAAGGAAAAAAACAATGATAATTCTTAAATAGTATAGAGAGAGAAAGAGAAACATAACGAATTAATAATCTTACCCGTTGTATTTCCCACCCCTAGACACTGTTTACGGATGTACCACGTCAAAAGTCATTCTCTCTCTCGGCAATAAAGAGAAGCAAATTCTTTTGATTGAAACTAATATTCATTGAATAACTAGTAGGTGAAAGGAATAAATAAATAAAACGCTAACATATCTCTCCCTGTCTTATAAGGTAAATACAAACTAGGTGGTTCTTCTGACTGTCGATCGCATTACAATAGAAAAGATCTTAAAAATGGCGCATAATTTTCCCGCAGCTTGATTGGCGACTCTTAATGCGTTGATATAATAAATCGGATACCATAGTCCTTGTACAGGTAATGGATAAAAAGTCCTTAGGTCTATATCCAATGCTGGATATAATTAGGACAGTCCCTGCTCCTAGATACTCCTAAATCCACAATTGTAATAATATTTGATCAATCAGAGATCCAAGTGAGGACCATCTCACTTTTCATATGGTCTGATGGCTGAAGCTAGAGGAAAACGGTTGTAATTATTCTCCTCCAAGGCCGCAAACTGGGTCCTAAGTGCGTAAAACTTTTGTAGCTTCCTGGCTTGATCAATGATTATCTGTTTCCGTTTCTCTTGGGTATCCTTCCTCCACTTTTACTCTGCAAACCAATGTGTCTTTGGATCCTTTAATTAGATCGTCAGATCTATGGTCTACCTTACCTTCGAGACCCAGTCTATGACCAACTCGCTGGCGTGAGCATTTGTGTGCCTCGTGAAGTCGAGAACGGCCTGGTTAGCTCTCTGCTCGTCGATGGCCGACTCTATTTGGACTTTGCGGTATGCTTTGGCCCGCGGTAGAACTTTTTTCCACTCAGCTTGATGCCTCGTCCAAGACGGTGATCGAATCTAATGGTATATACATAGACACAAGAGGTGGTGGATCTAAAGCCGACAATTCGCGGGTGCGCTCCTGGCTAGTTTGAGCCTACAAGGGCTCGAGCTTCGGTGTCGTCGCATGATCAGTGCGATCGCCGGAGACGTCATATCTTCTTACATCGCTGATATGGCTTCTACGTCATCAATCACTTCTGGCTCTATTGTTAGAGAGTAAGGATGAGCTTGCTTTTTGTCAGCAAAGCCGTCTTGCGTATCCGCTAACGGCAGATTTACATTTGTGCGTGTAGATCTCTGTTAGTGCGTGTAAGTATAGTTATTTGGGCGTTTTTATTCACAATTTCTTTTTCCAATTTTTTTATATTTAATTTATATTGCTGCAAATTAATTACAAGTCTCGTTCTGTGATCAGAACCCGTTTTAATTCATCTGCTACAGGTTTGGGAATTAACTGAATATACCGTTTGGCAAATTTATCTTAATAAGGGTATCATGTGTAGTTGTGTAGACATTTTCGGCATCGTTCGTATTATCAGTTGGTAATAATAAGCTGGATATTGTAAAAATCATTGTTGGTTGTGTATATGCGTTGATTGTTTTTACGTAAACATATTTTTCGTTGTTATCGGTGTCGCGTATAGACGTTTACATCGGTGCATCGGCTAAGTTAAATTTAAACGAGTTTGTCCTCTTTTAATCAACGGTATATACTGAGCACGCATTACTAGAAATTACAGGAAGTGTGTCTGCTATTGTCGTAAATGACGTTTATGTTGTATTGCTATTGTAATTTCAAGAACTGCGTTCACGTGGAACGCTGCAAAGGTAAATTAAGTATCTGTATGCATTAGTCTTGGTTCCCTATAGTCATGAATATGCAGACTCACCACTCTGATTATTTTATTTCAAATGGTGTAGGAAGATAAAGTTTTATACACATCATAACTGGACTTACAGTTTAAGGTAGAATTTGAATCACCGGAATCACAGTGACAGACATACGAAAATTTAATTTCTGAAAACCTTCACCCGGACACTTTCAAGCTTCGGAACCCATGATCTCTTGCACAGAAGCCTGTTTAAACACATGTTTAAACATTTTGTATTATCCGTAGAATGAACTATTATTTCATCTGTTTCAGAATCGTCATCGCCTTGATTTTCTTGGTCTATCGTAGACTTCTCATCTCTTTGTGCCTGAAGTCATCAGATCAAGACTCTTCGATGAAAATGTCTCTTCTCCAACGGCGGTCGAGTTTTGGGCTCTAAGACTCAGCTTTGATCTTGAGAGGAGATGTGATGAGAGCAGCCAGTAAGCCTGTTCTTTATCTGCCCCTCTTCTTCTCTCCTCTACTCTCGACAAGGCGCAGTGGTCGATATTGGACACACAATAAAAATGCATCTAATGCTGAGAGAGAGAGAGAAAGAGAGAGAGAGAGAGAGAGAGAGAGTGTGTATAAAGTATAGGTAGGTTCGGGTGGCCCGCGCCGCACGGCTGATAAGAGCTGTGTCGCGTGTCGCCTAAAAGGTAGGCAAAGTGGAAAGAATAATAGCCACAGGTACATGCTGGTCACTTTTTGTTCTTTGAGCCAAGAATCGAAAGATCAAAGCTCTCGTTCGTTGATCGGGTTTAAGTGACACTCTCATGCGTACTAGTTCTTTCTGGCCTTCATTCCTCCCTCGATATTTCCAAGTTACAAGAACGCAATTCACCTTGATCTACTATCAACGTCGACTACCATTAGAAGGAGCCGAAAAAGAAGAAAAGCGTTGCCGAGGTACTTGGTCGACGACCGTTGGGACTCTACCTGTAGTGTCTCTCTCCTTCTAGTCTTTCTTTCTCTCTATGGTGTACTAGTAGCCGCATTAATAAATAAGTATAGAGCAAAGCGTGCCGGCTACCTTGCTTTGTTCCTTAGACTAGTTTGTAAGAAAGTTTTATTATGTTTATTAAACAGCTTATAAATTAAATAATAAAGTTTATTTGTCGAATGTGAATCATTTTTATATCATATTTATTTCCTCGCCTTGTCCACCAATTGCGTTTAGAGCAAAAGCGCCTATCTTGCCCTCCTTCTTTTTAAAAAAATATAGGTAATACGGACAACATTGTTATATATTGAAATTATTTGTCATAACAGTACTAAATTAAAGGTTCTTATAATCGCCTGATTTTCATATCGAAAATCTTGAATATTGATGTCGGTAAAAGCTCTTAAAACGTAAGTATCGAATTTTATATAGGTACAACTTATATTAACTTTTCGAAAGAAAAATTTTATTTTAAATTTCTCAGATAGATCATGTTATATATTTATAAATCATGTTGAATATTTTTCATAATGAAATTATACATAAAAATTTTTTAAGATATGAGATTTATCAATACTAATAACAATACATTTTATTCTTAAATGTTTTTTCATTTATATTGAATTGTTATACATTCAGGGATACTTATGACACTTTCAGTGTTAATATGTATAATAGTTGTACTTCAAATAGTGAGACAATTCTTTACATAATCTTCACTAGATTGCTTTCTTTGAAGCTTCAGTTAATACTAAATATTCAGCTAATACTGAGTGAGCTAATATAGCAACTACTTCTTGCATTTTGAAGACTAAAATATGAGTGAAAATGATCAGTAAATACAAATCCAAGTAATTGACTAAAGAAATACCCAACTAAACTGCACCTAGTACCTGAGTAATCTTTCCACTATTTTTACACGTATTGATTTGGCATCATTATTAAATGTGTTAAGTAATTTTGTTGTTATACATAAATTTGGCATTGATGTTTGAGTAAAATATCAAGTGTCACGATTGCGGCATTCATGTACCTACGTACGAAGTAGCTGCGGAGCTGCAGTACCTTCGCTACACTAAATACAATAAGTTAGCAATTTCACGTTACGCAGCAAATCATTTGTTCTTTTTCTTGCTGCCACGTGTTTGATATTGTTTGATATTGATATGTTTTGATCAGTCAAATTGGAAGTCTGGTTCAGCATTTATCACCTAAAAAAGATTCAGCTCGACCAATGCAGATTTGAAAAAGTTATCCAAGTAACAAAATATTTACATGGTTTATATTCACGTATAGACTGTTGT